TGTGAAAAGCATTTTCCCCCTTCATGATTTTTTTTTTATATGTGTCACACTTAAATTATTTAGTTAATCAAATAAACGTTACCATTACACAAAGATAACCCAAGTAATTACAAAATGCAGTTTTTTAAACAATTATTTTATTAATTAAGGGAAAAAAGCTGTTCAAACCTGTCTGGCCCCATGTGGAAAAGTAATTGCCCCCTAAACCTAATAACTGGTTGTGTCACCATTGGCAGCAAGAACTGCAATCAAGCTTTTGCGATAACTGGCAATGAGTCTTTCATATCGCTGTGGAGGAATTTTTGCCCACTCTTCTTTGCAGAATTGTTTTAATTTAACCACATTGGAGGGTTTTCAAGCATGAATGGCCTATTTAAGATCATGCCACAGCATCTCAATCAAATTTAATTACGGACTTTGACTAGGTCTCGCCCTAAAACCTTAATATTGTTTTTTTGAGCCATTCATAGGTTGACTTGCTGGTGTGTTTCAGATCATTGTCCTGCGGCATAACCCAACTGCACTTGAGCTTGAGGTCAAAAACTAATGGCTGGACATTCTCCTTCAGGATTTTCCGTTAGAGAAAGTAGTCCAGGTCTTGAAGCTGTAAATCAGCCCCAGACATCACACTATCACCACCATGTCTGACTGTTGGTATGATGTTATTTTTATGAAATGCTGTGTTTGTTTTACACCAGATATAACGGGGCACACACCTTCCAAAAAGTTCACCTTTTGTCTCATCAGTCCACAGAATATTTGCCCAAAAGCCTTGGGAATAATCAAGATGATTTTGGCAAATGTGAGACAAGCCTTTGTGTTATTTTTGGTCAGCAGTGGCTTTTGCCTTGGAGCTGTCTCATGGATGCTACTTTTGCCCAGACTCGTTCCTATTGTTGAATCATGAACATTGAACTTAAGTGAGGCAAGTGAGGCCTTCAGTTCTTTAGATGTTCTGGGTTCTTTTATTACCTCCTGGACAAGTCGTTGTTATGCTTGGTAGGCCGGCCACTCCTGGGAAAATTCACCACTGTTCCAAGTCTTCTCAATTTGTGGATAATGGCTCTAACCATGGTTCTCTGGAGTCCCAAAGCCTTAGAAATTGCTTTGCAACCCTTTCCATACTGATACATGTGAATTACTTTGTTTCTCATCTGTTCTTGAATTTCTTTAGCTCACGGGATGATGTGTTGCCTTTGAGATCTTTTAGTATGCTTCACTTTATCAGACAGCTTCTATTTGAGTGAATTCTTCTGTTTAAGTGAATTCTTGATTTAACAGGTCTGGCAGTAATCAGACCTGGGTGTGGCAAGTGAAAGTTAACTCAGCTGTGGTTAATCACAGTTCATTCATGATTTAGGTGGGGGGGATTATTATTTATTATTATACAGTATTTATAAAGTGCCAACAGTTCGCTCAGCACTGTACATTGTAAAGGGAGACAGAACATGCGACAGTACAATAACAATACAATGCGATGCACGAGGAGTTCGAGGGCCCTGCTCTTTCGAGCTTACAATATAGGAGGGAGGGGATAGTGGTACAGGAGGAGATAGCTCTGGGGGATGGAGTGGTAGGAAGAATGGAGGAGGTCGGAAATTAGCAGGGGGTGGGGTAGGCTTTCCAGAAGAGGTGGGTTTTCAGGGTGCGCCTAAAGGAGAGGAGAGTAGGTGATAATCTGATGGGTTGGGGCAGGGAGTTCCAGAGGATGGGTGACACCCTGGAGAAATCCTGGAGGCGGGCATGGGAGGAGGAGACCAGGGAACTAGAGAGAAGGAGGTCTTGTGAGGAGCGGAGTGTGCGTGTTGGGTGGTACTTGGATATTAGGTCAGTGATTTCATTTGGGGCAGTATGGTGGATGGCTTTGTACGTCAGTGTTAGGATTTTGAATTTGATCCGTTGTGCAATCGGAAGCCAGCGTAGGGATTGGCAGAGGGGGGTGGTGGAAACAGAGTGGTTGGTAAGGTGAATGAGTCTGGCTGCCGTATTCAGGATCGACTAAAGCGGGGATAGCCTGTGGCGAGGCAGGCCAGTGAGGAGGGAGTTGCAGTAGTCGAGTCGTGATATGATGAGGGAGTGGATGAGCTGTTTAGTGGGTTCTGGGGTTAGGAACGTGCAGATTTTTTCGATGTTGCGGAGGTGGAGTCTGGATGAGTTTGTTAATGATTGAACTTGGGGCTGGAAGGATAGGTTGGAGTACAGAATGACACCAAGTACTCTGGCCTGTGGGGCGGGCCTGATAGTGGCATTGTTGGACGTGATGGAAAAGTCAATGGGGGGTGGTGTGTGGGCTGGGGGGAAGACTAGGAGCTCGGTTTTGGAGAGGTTCAGTTTAAGGAAGTGGAGCGACATCCAATCTGATATGTCGTTCAGTAGGTTTGTGATTCGGGGCGGAGACTGAGGGGGTGAGGTGAGGGGTTGAGAGAGAGATGTGTGTCGTCGGCATAGAGGTGATAGTTGAAGCCGTGAGAGTGTATGAATTGGCCAAGGGAGGAGATGTAGATGGAGAAGAGAAGGAGCCCGAGGATGGAGCCTTGAGGGACCCCAAAAGAGAGGGGGAGTTAAGGGGGAGGTTGTAGCGTTATAGGTAACGCTGAAAGAGCGTTGTGACAGGTAGGATGAGAGCCAGGAGAGAGCGGAGTCTCGGCGGCCGAGGGAGTGTACCTTTTCACACATGGCAAAGCAGGTTTGGACAGCTTTTTCTTTTAATAAATTAAATAATCATTTAAAAACTGCTTCTTACATTTACTCAGGGTATCTTTGTATATTAAAATTTGTTTTTATGAGCTGAATCATTTAAGTGTGACAAATATGCCAAAAAAGGAAAAATCAGGAAGGGGGCAAATACTTTTCCACAGCACTGTACATGTACGTTAGCTAGCCTTAAAGTGGTTAAGCCCTATTTTGTCTTAAAGTGGTTGTAAACTCTTACATATACCCAGTGATATGACTGGCCTCAGGTGATACACAGAAATGAAACAAACCCTCCTACATACATTGTTCCTGTTTTTCTATAGCCATCTGTGCCCTACATCCATTCAAAATGCAGAATTTACCCTGAATCTCTCAGCTCTGAATAGTAGGGGGTAGGAAGCTGAAGTTACACTCAGTGGGGACAGCTCTGAGAGCTGATTGGAGGGGAGGAACACATCTGTCTTCACACAGCTCACAGGAACAGAGCTGAGTTTGTTAATCTGCTGGAGGTCCTTTCCCTGTCACCATTTTCCTCTTGGTGTCAGGAAAACTTTTCAGAAGGTTGATAGTAGAGGAACATGACAGCAGACAGAAATGACAGTACTCTGGATTGTGAAAAGTACACACTATTGAGGGATATGCTTTGTTCATATTTCATGTCAGAGATTTACAACCTCTTTAAGGATCTGCCCTCTTGTGTGTCCTACTATTAAGGAGCAGAGAGAATCCTACTGCTACAGTGCTGCCACAGCATGATCTTTGCTACCATAATGTAATAATAAATGAACACAAATTTAAAGAAACGCAAACTCTGGAAATTGTTTTTGACACACAACCACAGTATTCCAGGGCATGAAGGATTTAATAAATATTAATAACAATTTAATATTGAAGTATTTCTGTGTTCCTAAATAAAATTTTCTCTGTCCTCCTGCCAATGTTTTCATGGCTTGTTCCACATAAGAACAGTGACAGGCAATGGCTGGCTAACTATTCACCTCTAGCCACCGACGCCTGTGATGGGAAGGTGACAGGCTGTCATTTCACAGCTCCGATGTAAGAATTCTGTCTGCTTGAATTTTTATGGAGAGCCATAGAAGGCTTAAGTGTGATAATAAATAATGGATGTTTTGTTCTCAGCCTCATATCCTAAAAGGACTAAACATCTATAAAGTAGTCACTTCAAAAGTAACCTTGTACGTCTGCTCATATGACCATTTTTCTAGTGTGCCATAAAGCAAAATAGATTTTTATACAAGCAGTTTACATGTCTGATTCATTTATGAACTTGACATGTGCTACAAAGCATAGTCTGGAATTTATAACAGAAGGCTATTGCTTGTGTCAAGTATGCTGTCCTATTAGGTGTCTATAGATAGGAGATAAACGCTGGTGCTTTGTTTGCCTGGACTTCTTTTATTATTGTTTGTTAGGGTAATGAATCATTGATGATCATTATGGATGATGATTGTTCTGTGACCTGTCGTAGAACATTGATGACATTTCCAGCCAATGTTCCTGTATTCCCCGGATGCTACCTTTATTGTGATAATCAATTTCATGTGTCAGATTTTCTCTTCTTCCCCCACTTTTGGTATAAAAAATCATCTCATCAAAAACATAATATTTACAGTATGTCATATTACATACATTCATACATATTCAGCAATGTGATATATTGTAGCTTACCAATCTATAAATGTGTTGGCTGCACTAGTTTCCTTTTCTGAACCTTTTTCCTTTATTTCTACCTGCTGATCCTGCCAGTGACATACACTATATAGCCAGATGTATTGGGATGCCTGCCTTTACACGCACATGAACTTTAATGGAATCCCAGTCTTAGTCCATAGGGTTCAATATTAAGTTGGCCCCGCCCTTTGCAGCCATAACAGCTTCAACTCTTCTGGGAAGGCTGTCCACAAGGTTTAAGAGTGCGTCTATGGGAATGTTTGGCCATTCTTCCAGAAGCCCATTTGTGAGATCAGGCACTGATGTCAGATGAGAAGGCCTGGCTCACAGTCTCCTCTCTAATTTATCCCAAAGGTGTTCTATCGGGTTGAGTCAAGTTTCTCCACCCCAAAGTTACTCATCCATGTCTTTATAGACCTTGCTTTGTGTACTGGTGCACAGTCATGTTGGAACAGGAAGGGGCCATCCCCAAACTGTTCCCACAAATTTTGGAGCATGGAATTGTCCACAAAATGTCTTAGTATGCTGACGCCTTACAAGTTCCCTTCACTGGAACTAAAGGTCCAAGCCCAACCCCTGAAAAATAACCCCACACCATAATCCCCCCTTCACACATGGCACAATGCAGTCAGGCAAGTACCGTTCTTCTGGCAACCGCCAAACCCAAACACATCCATCGGATTGCCAGACAGAGAAGCATGATTGGTCACTCCAGAAAACATGTCTCCACTGCTCTAGAGTCCAGTGGTGGCATGCTTTACACCACTGCATCCGACACTGTGCATTGCACTTGGTGATGTAAGGCTTGGATGCAGCTGCTCGGCCACAGAAACCCATTCCATGAAGCTCTCTATGCACTGTTGTTGTGCTAATCTGAAGGCCACATGAAGTTTGGAGGTCTTTAGCTATTCACTCTACAGACAGTTGGTGACTTCTGTGCACTTCAGCATGCGCTGACCCACCCTGTCATTTTACGTGGCCTACCACTTCATGACGGAGTTGCTATTGTTCCCAGTTGCTTCCACTTTGTTATAATACCACTAACAGATGACCGTGGAATATTTAGCAGCAAAGAAATTTCCCAGATGGACTTATTGCCACCTATCACGGTACCACGCTTGAGTTCACTGAGCTCCTGAGAGTGACCCATTCTTTCACAAATGTTTGCAGAAGCAGTCTGTATGCCTAGGTGCTTGATTTTATACAGAAACAGAGGACACAGCACCTCTAATTGTAAACTGTATAACAATTTATAAAAGGAAGTTAGGCAACTCACATCTTTTAAAAAGTATACAGGCTCATAGGAATGAAGTGTGGAAAATGTCTATCGGCGGGTGTTGGTAGATGCTTTGGAAGAGATCGTGGGCCGATCAGCAGGAGGTGCTGCACATGAAGGATCATGGATGGAGAAGCTCTACTGAGTCCCTGGTATGTCCGGAGCTGAAGATGTAGGCATCTGACTTCATCAGGATGTGACGCATTTCTGAGCATGCGTGGGGACCGCTAGGGACCGCTAGGGACTGGCGTGCTCTTTCTTCAGGCATTCTCATCCTGATTATAATTTGCCATTGTCAATTTAATTCATATATATAACCTATTGCTTTTTTATCTGGCTCCCTTCATTTTTTGCATTTATATTTACATACTGTATATATAATTTATTTATATGTTCATATATACTCATGTATTTTCTTATCCTGATTATGATTTGCCATTGTAAATTTTATTTTCATATGATCTATTGCTCTTCTTAATTTGGTTCCCTCCATTTATATATAATTTCCTGTTTTATTTTGTCCCTTGTTTTTATATACATGTTCCTATTGCTCTGCTGACTCTCCGTGTACCTACCCCCCTGCTCCCCTCTCCCTCTCTCCACCCCCAGCCTTGTCTGTCATATCTTCGTTGTCCTATAAAAGGCTCTCCTCCCCTCCCTCCCTTATGTATGATCTATTCCTGAACAAAGAGCACGCCAGTCCCTAGCAGTCCCCGCGCATGCTTAGAAACACGTCGTATCCTGATGACATCAGTCGCCTACATCTTCAGCTCCGAACATACCAGGGACTCAGTCAGGCTTCTCCATCCACAACACTTCATGTGCAGTGCCTCCTGCTGATTGGCCCATGATCCCTTCCAGAGCATCTGCCAACACCTGGTGATGGCATGATCTATGCGCCTGCCTATTCTCCATTTTCTTGATTTTATACACCTGTGGCCATGGAGGTGATTGAAACACCTGGATCCAATGATTTGGAGGGCTGGCCCAACGCTTTTGGCAATATAATGTATTTCTAGTCTCGGTCAAGACTTACTCACCCTACTGTATCAAGACAACAGAAACACAATCAGGCTAGGGAACACATTTACTCTCCTAATGTCTATAACAGTGGTATCCAAAATGCAGCCCGGGGGATAGATGCGGCCCTTTGCTTGCCTTTATCTGGCCCTTGTGGCATTATTCCCCCCACTGCCAGCAAGAGTGGGGCATAGTTCCTGCCACTGACACCAGTGATGAGGCACTATTCCTCCCACTGAAACAACTGCTGGGGCACTATTCCTCCAAGTGATAGGGCACTATTACTCCCACTGACACCCAACGATGGTACATTATTCTTTCCACTGACACCAATGATGGGACACTATTTCTTGCACTGATAACAACAATGGGACACTATTCCTTCCACTGACCTCAATGATAGGGCACTATTCCTCCCACTGACACTAACAATTGGACATTATTCTTTCCACTGACACCAATGATGGGGCATTATTGCTCCCATTGACACCAACAATGGGACAATATTCCTTCTACGGACATCAATGATGGGGCACTATTCCTCCCACTGACACCAACAATGGGACACTATTCCTTCCACTGACACGGATGATGGGGCACAATCCCTCCCACTGACACCAACAATGGGGCACCATTCCTTCCACTGACACCAACAATGGGACGCTATGCCTTCCACTGACACCAACAATGGGGCACTATTCCTCCCACTGACACCAACAATGGGACGCTATGCCTTCCACTGACACCAACAATGGGACACTATTCCTTTGACTGACATCAACAATGGGACACTATTCCTTCAACTGACACCAATGATGGGGCACTATTCCTCCAAGTGATACCATTGATAGGGCACTATTCCTCCCGCTGACACCCAACGATTGGACACTATTCCTCCAACTGACACCAACGATGGGGCACTATTCCTCCCACCGACACTAACAATGGGACACTATTCCTTCCACTGTCATCAATTATGGGGCACTATTCCTCCCACTGACACCAACAATGGGGCACTATTCCTTCCACTGACACCAATAATGGGGCACTATTCTTCCCATTGATACCAACTAAAGGGCACCATTGCTCTCCCTTATACCAATGATGGGACATTGTTTACTCCCACTGATGCCAGGACACTTTCTTCTCCCACTGGTCACAGTCGGGCAACCCTAAAGTTTGAAAGACAGTAGATTGACCCTTTGTTTAGAAAGTTTGGAGACCACTAGTCTATAACATAAAGGGTGGGGCTCTGTAGTCCTTAAAGAACAATGCAACTGATAACAGGTAATACAGGTAGTGGGCACAGAAAGTTATCAGCTTACACAGTATTTACCAGACCAAAACAGGTCAAATATGAGAAGCTTGTGGTCAGTGTTCACGTGCATTTTAAAAGAAACATTTTACATGAGCAAGCTTACAACAATCAAATAAAACCGGGAAAATGTTTGGTAGTACAATATAAAAACAAAAGTAATAAAGGCTCTGCTCATAAGAGCTAACTGTCTGACAAGAAAAAGGGGTTACAAAAAGATTTGAGTGATGAGAGTATCAACTAGTACAACTTGTATTGTAAAACAAACTGGAGAGATATTGCAAGCAATAAAAAAAGTTTTTTTCTTTAAAGAAAAATGAAGGTGATAAAGAAATGAGCTAGAACAATAAAAATACAATAGAAAATGTTTTGATGTATGTATTAGACTGGAAATAAATAACAGATTTTAGCAGACTTTGGAAAGAAAAGAATTACATCATACTTTTTATTGGAAGCTGGTTTTGATTTTTGTTAATATCGAGTAGTTTGCAAGATATATTTCTTTGTCTTTGGTATCCTACATATAATCATTCATTATGTAACTTTTTGCAAACCGAATTCATTCAACTTGAAATGTAATAAAACAGCCCAAAATTCTCCACTCATATGACAGCCAAAAAATGTTCTAATTCTACAGGAAAACAGATATTGTGTTGAAAAAGTGATATCCAATATTGTCTCCATTTTTTTAAATCAGATTTTCTATTGAAAAAAAAAAGTTGCAAGAAGAAAAAAAAAAGTTTTCTTTGCTCATTTGGCACCCGATCTGAGTCTCTATTTGTCTAAAAGCCAACTGGAATAGTCCTTACATGAACATACGTGAATCCAGCAATGAAGGATGTTTCCTTCTTTATGACACTCCATTAAAGTATATTCTCACACCGTGATATAAATGACCATCTAGCTCAGGGGCATCAAACTCTATTTCACTGGATCAGCATCAGCATTATGGTTGCCCTCAAAGGATCAGTTGTATCTGTCAGACTAGATGTCCAGAGCACCCCACCCCCCCCCACATCAGATGTCAAGAGCCCCTCATCAGAAGCCAATAGCCCCCCACCCTCCCTAACATCACAGTGAACCCCCCTTACCTTCTGCTGCTGCTGGGAAGAAGATGGGGCAGAGCTGAGAATCAGAAAGTGCAGGGTCTGGAGGAAGACCTGAGGGCTGGATTTAGCTGAATGCTGAGACCGAGGGTGGGGGGGATCAGGGGGTGAATCTGTAGGAGGAGTACTGTTCTCCTCTCTGATACTGAGATGGGAGGGACAGAGACAAGCCTCTCCATGGCTGCCTGAAGAAGTGCAGGATCTGGTTGAGCAGTCCTGTCATCCTCTCTGCTTCTGACTGAATGGAAGAAGCTGGGAGTCAGAAAGTGCAGGATCTGGAGGAAGACCAGAGAAGGGCTGGATTCAGCTGCTGGAATCTGCTGAATTCTGAAACCAGGGGAGGCAGAGACGAGAGGGTGCTGCACACACAGGCCTAGGATCTGTAGCACTGTAGTCCCATCTGCTATTGAGATGAGAGGGACAGAGAAAAGCCTCTTCATGGCTGCATGAAGATGTGCAGGATCTGGCTGAGGAGTTCTGTCCTCCACTCTGCTGCTGACTGTAGAGACAAGGTGAGACCAGAGATGAGAGGGGTGCCACAGCTGCAGGAGAGGTTCTAGGGAAAAATGAAATGGTCTGGTGGGCTGGATTTGGCCGCCGGCCTTATGCTTGACACGTGATCTAGCTTATTAAATGTCTGTATCCAAATGGGACTTTATGCTTTCTATTATATCCGTGTAGTCCTGTTTTGGCATCAAGACTACACCAGAGCCTTCCTTGTTTTCCTCTGAAAGGTTGTAGTTTTGGGCTAAATATTTGGAAAGTCATGTCTACAAACTATATATTTGAAAATTGATAAATCCTGATGTACTGATGGCTGATCTCAATTCATGAGGTCCTAAAATGCCAGGACTGTGCAAATACCCCTCAGATGACCCCTTTTTTGGAAAGCAGACAATATGAATTAGTTAGCAAGAGACATGGCAAATTTTTTGAAGATTAATTTTTTGTTGCAGTTTTTTAGAAAATGAATAAGGTAGATAACATGGGTTTTTTTCCCTTTTTTTTTTTTTTTTTACAAACTGTCACCAGTGCAGTACAATGTCATCGTATGACTGGTGTGGCAGTGATCAGGGATACTGGTGACAGCATATAAAAGAAAAAAATATATATTCACTGTTTCCCCTAAAATAAGACCTACCCTGAAAATAAGACCTAGTGCTATTTTTGGGAATTGCTAAAGTATAAGACCTACCCCGAAAATAAGACCTAGTTGTGATCAGGACTTTTTTTCAGGCGGAACGCCATTCCGCCACCTCCGGCACTGGCCTTGTGCACACCCATATCTGCTGTCTCTTATAAACACAGAAGCGCGGCTGAAGTGACAGCACCATCCGCTCCCACAGAACCTACCTACCTCTACTCACCAGGGGCGGACTGACAACTTATGGGGCCCCCGGGCAATAAGGGATCATGAGGTCCCTGTGTCCTTGCCACACTCAAAGCACACCCAAAAAACCCTATAAAAAAGGTAC